CTGCTGGTCCTCGCTTTGACCACGCGCACTTGCGCCTTGACTATACCACTAAGCCCAAGGCACACATGTGAAAAAGAAAGCAGATCGTTAAATTATGTGGTTTTACGTACCAGGACATAATAAAAACCATCTGGTCCTTAGCAGGTCTGAAAATGAGTAAAGCATCCACCTCAGATGGACAGCAACCTATTAGACTGTGCCGTGATTTAGTTTACAGAATTCAAGCCAATTTGGAGAAGCCGTGTGTGAAAAATTAAGCCCTTGTAGAACCAACTTTAGCAGCAACCACTTGAAGTCATTGTTTTCTGTATGTTTTTATTGGCCTCTCACTTCATTGTGGAGGAATTTTGGCCGGCTCTTCTTCACAACGTTGCTCCAGTTCATTGAGGTTTGCCGGCCTTTGTTTATCGCCAGCTCTCTTAAGGTCCTGCCACAACATTTCAGTCGGGTTGAGGTCTGGCCTTGGACTGGGCCATTGCAACGTCGTCTTGTCTTTTTCAGCCGTTCTGCTGTAGATTTGCTGGTCTGCTGTGGGATCCTCGTCCCGTTGCATGACTCAATTTTGGCCAAACGTTGGCTGTCAGAGAGATGGCCTCATGTTGGACTCTAGAACACTTTGGGATACAGAGGAGTCCATGGACCCTGACGGCAACATGCCCAGGTCCTGTGCCTGCAAAACAGCCCAAAATCATCACCCCTCCACCTCCGTACTCGACCATTGGTGTGAGGTATTTGGTCTGATAGGCTGTGTTTGGTTTTCACCAAACGTGGTCCTGTGTATTATGACCAAACAGCTTCACTTTGATCTTGTCTGTCCAAAAGACATTGTTCCAAAAGTCTTGTAGTTTGTCCAGATGCAACTTGGCAAACCTAAGCTGTTCTGCCACGTTCTTAGAGAAGAGGATTTCTCCTGCCAACCCTTCCAAATAAACTATACTTGTTCATTCTATTTCTAGAACCCACCTTGGGTTCTTTTAAAGAAGACAGGATAGAAATATTTTAAAAATTGTACTGTCATGAACTTTGACATTTAACATGCTAATTGAGGCCTGTAGAGTCTGAGATGTATGTAACTCTTTTTTTAATTTTTTTTTAATTTTTATTTTTTTATTTTTTATTTTTGCAATTTCTCTGAGTATTGCATGGTCTGACCTTGGGGTGAATTTGCTTGGACATCCACTGCCGTAAAGATTGGCCACTGTCTAGAATGTTTTCCACATGTGAATAATTTTTCTCCCTGTAGAGTGATGGACTTTAAATTGTTCGGAAATGGCCTTATAAACCTTTCCAGATCGATTGGCAGCAACAATTGCTTCTCTATGAGTATTACTTATGTGTTTCCTCCTTGGCATTGTGCAAACACACACCTGAATGCTCCAGACCTGCAAACTGGCTTTTATAGAGGTGGTCACACTTGCTAATGATCAGTTTAGTCGTTTAGTCGTGTCCGACTCTTCGTGACCCCATGGATCAGAGCACACCAGGCCCTCCTATCTTCCACTGCCTCCTGGAGTTGGGTCAGATTCATGTTGGTTGCTTCGGTGACACTGTCCAACCATCTCATCTCATCCTCAGTCGTTCCCTTCTCCTCTTGCCTTCACACTTTCCCAACATGAATGTCTTTTCCAGGGAGTCATCTCTTCTCATGAGATGGCCAAAGTACTGGAGCCTCAGTTTCAGGATCTGTCCTTCCAGTGAGCACTCTGGTTTGATTTCCTTCAGAATGGATAAGTTTGTTCTCCTTGCAGTCCAGGGGACTCTCAAGAGCCTCCTCCAGCACCACAATTCAAAGGCATCAATTCTTCGGTGGTCAGCTTTCTTTATGGTCCAGCTCTCACTTCCGTACATCACTACTGGAAAAACCATAGCTTTGACTATGCGGACCTTTGTCGTCAAGGTGATGTCTCTGCTTTTTAAGATGCTGTCAAGGTTTGTCATTGCTTTCCTCCCAAGAAGCAGGCGTCTTTTAATTTCGTGGCTGCTGTCTCCATCTGCAGTGATTATGGAGCCCGATGATCAGTTTACTCAAGGGCATTTGGTTAGCACCACCTGGCTGCTACTTAGCTTCTCAATTCCTATGGAAGCACTAAGGGTATACTTTTCATACATGGCTTCTTCACTTTGGATTCATTTCTGTAAAATAAATCATGACACGGTATAATCTGTCATGTGTCGTTCTTCATCTGAGATTGTATTTACTTAATTTTCAGACCGGCGAAGGACCAGATGATTTTTATTGTGACCTGATACATAAAACCACAGAATCCAAAGAGGGTGTGCTTTCTTTTTCACCCGGTTGTCTTTCTTAAAAGCCTGCCCTGTCAAGGCCAGTCCTTGTCAGGCAAAGGGGAGACAAGAGGGATCGAGGGTCATAAAAGAAAAAAGCAAAATTATATATTGAGCCATTCACTTGTCAGCTTTCTGCACACAAACATCCTGGTTTTGAAGTGAGCAGGGAGTGGTGAAGACATGAAAACAGACACAACCACAGCCACACACAGAGAGCGAGAGAGGGAGAGAGCAAGAGTGGAGGTTTTGCAAGACCTAAAAGGAGGAAGGAGACCTCGCCGAGTTGTCGTTTGGCATTTCTGATCCGCTTTGCAAGGAAGCACCGTGGGGGGACGGGACCGGCTTGATGGGTCGGGTCGCCTGGGCCGGGTTCGGGTGCACCAAACAGGATAGGGCCCCTCGGACGAGACTTTCCAGCACCGAAAGCTTTTCCTGCTCTCACAGTGGAAGGAACCGAGGCTGATGCTTCCCTTCGGCAGCGTAAGATCCGGTTCCCTCTCGTACAGAAGCGACAAGGCCAAGAAAAGGTGAAGGATGAGTTGCGGGAATCTTTCTTTTCGATTTATGGGTTTCCAGCTGGACTGTTCACTCAAGACGCCAGGTCCTGTCCTCTCTGCTCTTCTCTCCCCCCCACCCCTGGTCTGTCTCTCATGTGCAGTAGGCGCTTAGCTCTGTTCCATCCAGATCCAGTCGTTCCTCTGCTTAAGGGGTGGGCAGCGCAGCTGACCCATGTGGTAGACTTGCCAGGCCATGGAGGATTGAAGCCCGATCACTTCCGAATGATTAGGGATGATGTTTTCATCGCTCATCCCCCTCTAGCCTTTCTTCTTCCTTCCGAGCTTTAACTCCGTGATCTTTACACTCTCTGAAGCCAGTTTGATAGATCACCACCACCACCACCACCACCCTGAAACAGAGTTTTGTGATGAATGGCCACTTGTGTAATGCAAAGTTACTTCATTCCACCCCCACCCCCAGTGATGAGTGGCCACTTGTGTAATGCAAAGTTACTTCAGTGGGGCCATAAGAGCCGTTGGCTTTACAAAAGACCGCCTTTTTCTGGCGGAGCTGAAGACAGCCAGCGCTGGCGTGTTGATCTGGATCCATGGAGCTGCTAAAACTTTGGGATTCCCCTTTGGAGGAATCAACACTCCTGAGTGGGTCAGGATGAGTACCTGGTCTTCTAAACTGACCCACCAGGAGGTTCAAACCCTGTCAAATCAGGTTCAACCGGGGGCCTTTTTTTGGGGGGGGATACAAATGATCAAGATGCGCTCCAGTACTTTGAAATTTATCCCTGTGCTGTCCACCCAAAATGGATCTGAGGAGGGAAGATTTGACGGAGAGAAACAGAGATCTTTTAAACAATGTGTTTGGTTGAAGAGATACTGTAGTTTTATAACTATTTTCCAAACAGGGGGAAAACAAAGAAAATGGAAAGAACGGCAGGGATCCTGGTGGCATTTGCATAAGGGGGCGACTCATCGTGGCTCGTGAATCGGCCGTGGGCCCGACGTGCCCCATGCCAGAGGGGCAGCTGTGAATGGCCCAGCCCCTCATCGGACGAGCCGCAACTAGCCCCCGCACACCGTACAGACAGGATTCTGTCCAACGCCGCCTCGTCGTCCTCACGTCCGTTCTGAGTTACGGCCACCCTTTCTGGGGTTTCCCAGGTAGAAAATACGGCTCCCTGTTTCAAAATCTAGCCCCACCCCCCCATTTTCTTTACTTGTGACAAACTTTAAAACTTATTCCGATTATTTAAAAAACACTTAAAAAACAACAACAGCCCTGATACATTGAGATCCTGAACTGTCACTTGCTTAGCCTGTGTGTAATTCTGTTCATGGTCTGAGTAACTTATCCGTATCCATTCCTGAGTTTTCCTTTCTTTCTCACTGTGGTGGTTTCCCAGCCACAGCTGAAGTCTCCGGCCCCTTTTCTGTGACGGATCCAGGCACCCATCGTCCTTGTCGCTCCCCCTTAGTTCTCTTGCCACTTCCTCTAGCAAGTCCTGAGTTCTGGACCTCTCAGTGCTGTTCACGGAGCGGTTCCTGCTTTCGGATTTTGGGTATTCGGAAAGCTGTCACTCCATAGTAGCGGATTCAATGGTGTGACTCAACAGGAAGCCGTCCTTGCTTCGGGATCATGAGGTCTAGGCTCTTGGTTTCCTCTTATGGGACATACCATATTATGACACCCTTTGGGTGTAGACTTCTGTAGACTTCAGAAATAGTGGCTAGAAAAAATGTCTGTCTGGAAAAACCAGAGCGCCACTGTTAGTCGGGGCACACCAGTTGGGTGTTTCAGACTATACCCTCCATCTTCCAGTTGCTGTGGGTAATGGGTTTTGTAGTCCAGAAGATAAGGCAGGTTGTTGCTTCTGGGGGCCAAGAACCCCCAGTCTCAACAATGCTTGAACTAGCCAGATGAAGCCTAGGAAAGCTCACGTTATGTATGACAAATCTGTTAATTTTTAACGAGCCCACAGGTCTCTTAATTTTTTTTCCTGCTGGGAGAGACTAAAACATCTACTCTGCCCGGTGGGAAATTGTTTGAAGGGGAAGCTTTTGTGTGTGTGGGGGGGGAGGGGGTAAAGTATTCCCTGTCAGAAAACAAAATGTGTTTCTTGATTCAGAAATCTGGCTTTGCCCACGTGCAGATTTGTGATGATTTGTGGTTCTCTTAGAACTGGGCAGATTAATCCACTAGAATGTGGTAGATTAATCAACTGTCAATTGCCAGATCCATCGACTAATGAACGGGAATTTAATTGCAGACAATTTATTTTGTCCGAAGGGGGTGGCTGACAAAAAAGAAAAGTCACCGAAGGATAAAATGAAGTGGATTGTTAAAGATCACAAGGAAGAACACAGAGATTAAGAGATTCATTGGGAATTGAAGTTTTGACATTTTCATCTTCTTTCTCTCTTTTTTTGGGGGGGGAGGGGAAGCTTGATCTGAAGATGATGTTTTCAAACTTGATCAATCCAGTCACGTCGAGCAGGATGGAGCTCAAAAACCAGCTTCCAGAGGCGGTGCAGGGTCCGTGCGGACGCGAGCAGAGCTGAAGTTTTCCGCAGAACGCCCCAGGAATTTAGCCACATAATCTGACCTCAGTTGAGAGGAGGGTTTTTTATCCCTTGTTCTTCCACGCCGGCTGCTTCTGCCAAGCAATGGGTGCGTTTTCTGGCCTCGTGACGGCCAAATATTTTTGCAAAGTGAGGCCCACAACTCTGTGGATCTGTTAGTCTGAAACCTGACCTCTCTTCGGCGTCCGGTCCGAGTCCTGACCGGCGTGGCCTTGGCATTGGGCCAGACTTTGGCGTTTTAGATCCTTCTCGGCAGTCTTGAAATTCTTCCTCTGGACGCCTCCCCCCCCCCCCCCCAAAGAAAGAGAGAGAGAGCGAAAAGGGCAGGGGAGGACCGCCACCCGCCTCCCCTACCACCATGCGGTGGTGCTTCTGCTTTCTGTCCGACGACGAGAAGAAGGCCATCGCCATCGATAAAGAAATTAACCGGCTACTCCAGGAGCAGAAGAAGCGAGACCGGTGGGAGCTGAAGCTTCTTCTTCTGGGTGAGTGCTCGGCCCCTTCGCCTGGGTTTTCCGAAAAGACAGGTGGCTCCACTCGAGACAAAGTTCTGGAGAAGATTTGTGAGTCGGTCACCAGAAACGATCAGAGGCCCAGCGGGGTGGAGGGTAAGAGCAGTAAAAATGGATTTTCCTTATTTCCATCCTCTTTCTTTCTTCTAAATGTTCTAGTCCTGTTTCATGGAAATATTCTACCTACCTACCTACCTACCTACCTACCTACCTACCTACCTACCTACCTACCTACCTACCTACCTATCTATCTATCTATCTATCTATCTATCTATCTATCTATCTATCTGTCTATCTGTCTATCTGTCTATCTGTCTATCTGTCGGTCGGTCGGTCGGTCGGTCGGTCGGTCGAAGGAGGAGGCAAGAGCTTTTCTAGAACATTTTTTCTGGGACTAAGCTGTGCTACCTCGGTACATTCTCAAGGAAGATGCTTTTCCTGGTGAGCCTTTTCAGAGTCAATGCAGGTTGAAAGGGTCCAGAGTCCAGATGGAGAGATATGAGGATTCCGGAATGAGGACTCAGCACCGCGTCTTCCTACAGGGAACAGTTGAAAGATTTGGAGTACCTTTAGTTTAGCGGAGGGACCCTTAGGGGCAACTTAAACACTGTCATGCAGGCCCATCACATAGAAAGATGAGGGAGTAAAATTCTTTTTTTCTTCCAGACGTTCCAAAGAAGAAGCAGGCTGCTTTGAGCAGTAGCGGGACTTTCCTGCATGAGTGATTTTTAACAAAGAAGTTGGATAGCCCCTCACTCAGGGTGCTACAGCATGGGGGCTGGACTAGATGATCTTTTGAGACTCAGAAAATCAAACGTCCATTTCAAGTTGTCACTTTAGACTTCTGGCAAGGAGAGTGACAGAGAGTGACCGTAAAGTGGCAAAAACGTGCATTCTGATTGCCTTTGGACTCACCTTTCTCACCTTTATGTTCTGCAAACAAGTATCCTCTTTTTAAACCGGTCTTTGCTTCATTTGCAAGTTGGATGGCTTAGGAGTGCAGCTTTGAGGGCATGGTGTCTCTAGAGGGAAATTAATTTAATTTACAATTTTGGCACATCTAAGGGTAGGTTGAGCATAGTAGCTTCTTCTCTGGAAGTCTCTTGAATAAGGATGGATGGATGGATGGATGGATGGATGGATGGATGGATGGATGGATGGATGGATAGATAGATAGATAGATAGATAGATAGATAGATAGATAGATAGATAGATAGATAGATAGATAGATGGAAGGAAGGAGTTCATGATGGATAGAAGGAAGGAAGGATTGAGGGAGGGAGCGAGAGAGGAATAGTCTGGTTGATATTCTTGGTCTATTACAAATGTTCCAGTAATCTTTCAGTAGATTCTTATCACAGTCCTAAATATTTCCTTTTCTGGGGCTTACAACATCCAGAGGATTTTGATCAGGCCTGCAAAAGTTCAATTTTCCTAGGACTACCGTTTCCAGAATCTGCTAGCCATCCTTGCGCATTTTGAGTTCTAGGAATACAAATCTCAAAAAGAGAGAAATGTTTCCAAATGGTGATCTGATCTCCTTACCCTTCACTCTTGCACAGTGGCGTAAGACTAAATCTTGAAATCGGAGAGGGTCCTCATGAAATTTCCAGTGGGCTTCTGAGGGTGCCCAAGGATACAGGCAGGCCTGTCCATACTTTCCAACAATCTAGGTCTGTCAGCTGCCCCAGGAGCAGGTCTTTTGTCAAGCTAATGGCTCTTGATGTCCCCTTTGAGACCACGCTTTGTTTCACAAGAGGGATATCTTCCAAGTGGGCGAATTGCAGCTAAGGTCAGAGGAAGCTCGAGGGATCTGACACGTCATGATTTCTGCTTAGAAAACTAGCTGTTTTTGCCCCTGCCACAAAGAATGGTTAGACCCTCTGGAAATCTGCACATATGGTTTAGATTATAAGTTACAGAGAGCACGTTGTTAGATGCCGGGATTTTCTTAAGTGATGAACAACGTCTGATTGTCACAGTCTTGTCACTCTTTTGTTGTCTTTTGTTGTCTTTTGGATCTGTCATCGGGAGGTGAACGTGGACCTCCCTGGAAATCCTGGTTTCTTAGTCTCAAACGTTGGCCTGGAGCGCGAATAGATACCTCCGAATGACGGGATATCTGTAATGTGTATTTTGACCCCCCAAGATGTGGTTGATTTCCTAGGGGAGAGGCCAAGGAGAGGCAGTACAGGTTTCCTGCCTCTTAAATAAAGATTCTGTGTGTTTTTCTACACTAATCAGGGACAGGCGAGAGCGGGAAAAGTACCTTCATCAAACAGATGAGGATTATCCACGGGGTGGGCTATGCAGAAGAAGACCGGAAAGGATTCAGTAAGGTGGTGTACCAGAATATCTTCACCTCCATCCAAGCCATGATCAAAGCCATGGAGACCCTCCGGATCCCGTACGTCGTGCCCGAAAATGTGGTGAGTAGCCAGCACGTGATTCTGTTTCCTCTGTGTGGACATTTGGACAATATCTCGGTGAGAATTCAAATCAGGATCTCCTGCACCTAAAATCAAGACGCTCACCGTACAGTAGCTTTTTTCTGGCAGCGGGCAGAGGGCAGTTGCGCCTGCGTGGATTTCAAATTTTAATAAACATGGATTGTTTATGGGAATTCTATCTTAATAGGAAATGCAGCTTTATCCCTAACCCCTAACCCTCCCCCCCAAAAATTTTTTTCCTGCGGGCTCAACACACTAGAAATTGATGAGGGCTTTCCTCCTCTTTCCAGAGAAACGCCCAGCTGCTCATGGGAGTGGATGCATACAAAATCACAGCCATGGAAAAGCATCATGGCCAGATGATCCAAAGCCTCTGGCGTGATGCCGGGATTCAAACCTGCTACCGACGGCGGAGAGAATACCACCTCCTTGATTCGACTGCCTAGTGAGTCCCACCCATAAGTCCGACTTCTGTTGTGTCCACACGTCCATCCAAAAGTGGGAAGTATTCCTTATTTATGGTTGACTACAACTCCAATTAACTGGGGGATGCTGGGATATGTGGTCTCCCCTCAAAGACTGTGCATTCAGGTGAACTGGAGTGGGGAGGTTAACTCTGAGGCCGAGTTTAATGGGGTATCTCCTGGTTTGGCCCTAAACTCGAACAGCGCGTTGAAAACAAGCAAGACTTGACGGCTTGCATGAAAGGTATTTAGTGGCCTGTGGGGGAAAAACCCTTTTTTGAATGGGCTCACCCCGTTCAATGTTTTCACAATTTCCAAAATCCATCTTGAAGCAAAGCAGACGAGCGTTTGGAGAGACCCAGAGATTGAAAGCAAAGCAAGGCAAAGCGGAACAAAATCGAAATATTGCAGGATCTTAAAGACAATCAGATTTACAGTAGGATCCCTGTATCCACAGGGGATTGGTTCGAAGCCTCCCAGCAGATGCTGAAAGCCGTGGATAATAGCAAACTCTGTACATAACAATAGTCAGAGAAAAAAATCAAATATATTTCCACCATGTATTACCAGAACTAGCCACTAGAAGGAGTCAGAGACCATGCTATGTATTTTTGTTTGTTTGTTTGTTTGTTTGTTTAACCTATATGCCGCCCACACTACCCAAAGGTCTCTGGGCAGCTTACAACAACTAAAATGCAGTTTAAAATATAAAACAATTAAAATATATACTCTAAAAATTGCCTTCAGGACCCACAATTTTTTAACGACAAGGATACATAACATGGTCTCTGGCTCCCTCTAGTGTCCAGGTCTGGTAAATACACCATGGAAATACATATTTATTCTTTTTTCTTTTAATATTTTTAATATTTTCAGACCGTGGATATGTGAGACTGCAGGATGTGAAGGTCCTACTTTATTTCTTTGTGAGTTTTGGTAAAACGGGAGGTTCAACTTTGGGCACCTCAGGAGAAGGCAGGTTTCTCCAGAAAAGACCTTCCTGCTGGAAAAGGTGGAAGGCAGCGGGGAAAAGAGGAAGGCCCAATGCAAGAAGGATTGACTCCCTCAAGGAAGCCACGACTTCTGTGTTTGCAAGAGCAGCTGTAGGCGGTTGAGGAATCTCTTGTTCACAGAGTTGATCTAAGTTGAGGCAGAACAACCAGAAAAGGTCGCCCCCCCCGCCCTCCCAGATGTTTCTACAGAAATGCACACTTGGGTAGTGTTTAAACAGTTAGGATCTTCCTGGTAACATTTAGAAACACATGCAGTTTAGCAGATACTGAAGCTTCTGACTCCAAAGTTTGTCCCAGGGGTTTTGATAAAGTCATTTAAAATAGGAATGTACAGTGGCCCAGTTTCTTCGACCCTTGTGTTCTTATTTACTAATTTACAAGTGGTGGCCTCTAAATTTTTCTCCCCATCCTTCTCATTCTCCCAAGTGAACGGTTGTCCTTAATTTATATATATAATGTTCAAATGTTGTCTGATGGAATCGCTAGGAGTTGTCTCCCCAGAGGCACGAGATTCAAAGAGTCAAATCCCCGAATGAGGACTAGCTGCATTTTTAGCCCTCGTGCCGGTGCAAAACTGGCTTTCCAGTTCCCAGTGGGTGCTGAGGTTGGATTTTGAATCATCAATAACTTTTTGAAGGACACAGAAACAGGTCGGGTCATTTCTTCCTCCTCCTGATTCATCTTCCACGTAAAGGAAACACCGCAGCCAGAATCTGATCGCGAAATATGGTGCGTGCAAACCGCTTTCTGGCCAGCCCCCCCTCAGGTGCATGCAACCCAGTGTATGACTTGGGGAGAACTATCTTAGAATACTGTAATCTTAAAACGGCCGAGCAGGAAGGGACCCGTGAGATCATCCAGTTGAGCCCCTATCAAGGAGGCTCAGTGGGGGATTTGAATTCGCAACCTCTGGTGCCCCAGCCAGAGAGTGACACCACCAAGCTGTCCAGTGGTGGTCTCTCATGCTGTTTCCAGTACGTACAATGTGATTCCAGCAGGATCCTGGGTTCAAAATGCCTCATGGGGGGGCGGAGGATTATGGCGCTGCTGAATCTTATGGTTCGAAAGCTTCGTGTGATGTGGAAAGAAAAAGAGAAGGGGGATGAAGAGGACAGAGGGATGAAGAGAAAGGGGTGATAGAGACGAAAGGGGCTGGAACTTTTCCAGACATTTGCAGAATGCAGAGAACACGCCAAAACAGTCAGTAAGTTTGTGGGTCTTATTTATGTATTTCCTTGAGCTGATGGATCGGACATGGGGCAAACGCGTGATGGGACGTGGGAAAGTGACTGGGACATTGTGCTTTTCAGTTTCCTGTCCAGTCTGGACCGCATTGCAGAGGAAGGCTACATACCCAGCGCTCAGGACATCCTGAGGACCCGGGTGCCCACGACCGGCATCAACGAGTATTGCTTCTCAATCCAAAAGGTGACACTCAGGTAAGCTTAAAAGGCACGCGTGGGACCAGCGCTGGCCGTTGGGGAGTCCAGGGAGAAGAAGCCTCTGTCTTTCTGATTCCTAAGAAGGCACCATACACAGTGGGTCAAATCACAAATTATCTCTCTCTCTCTCTCTCTCTCTCTCTCTCTCTCTCTCACACACACACACACACACACACACACACACACACACACACACACACAATGTGTTATTTACTACTATTAAAAGGTTGTCCCTCCAGGCACGCCGTTGCTTCCAAGCCCACTTTCCCGAGCCATCAGATTTGCAAACAAGGCCAGTGCAGACTCTCCAATGGCCAATCCCGAAAAAGGAGCAAACTAATTGAGCAAATGGAGTTGGGTGGGGTGCGCTTCCCTTGAGATGTCTTTTTACCTCTCTAACACTCTTTTTTTAACCTTCAAGCTCACAGTTAAAAAAACACTCTTTTTTTAACCTTCAAGCTCACATCCTAATGGTATCATCCATTGGGGGGGCTAATGGTATAATGCTATGTACTGAACCATTAAACCAGATTTAGTGGGATGACCACACTCATTGCTCTGAAACAGCAGGGTGGGGATGATGGGAGCCGTAGTGCAGAAAGCCTGCGTTCAATAAGGTACCCAAACCGGCCTCGTCCATCGGCACCATTGATGACGTAGCTTTCTTTAAAAAAAGATCCACGGACAACCCAATCCAAACTAAGCCCCTTGGTCACACCCTTGGTTCTTGCTGGATTAGATCCATGGCGGTTGGTGGGGTGCCCATGCGGAACCCTAGCGGTGTGAAGGGTGGCAAGAGCAATCCCGAACACATCCTGGTTTGGTGTGCAGGATCTCCCAAGTACAGTCTCAGTGTGTCTCAGCAAATAGGGCTAGGAAAGGATCCTGGCCAAAGCCTAGCAAGCCCTCGTGGCACTCAAATGTTAAGAGCAGAGGGCTTGAAGGACCAGCTCAATACGGAATATATAAAACAGACTTTCATTTAGCACCATGCAGACTTTTGAGTTTAGTATAGACCACCGGCTTTCTGTCTGGAAGGTCCCATTTCCAGTCTGCAGTATCTCCCTAGATAGGGCTAGGATAGGATAATGCCAGATAGGGCTTGGATAGGATGATGCCAGAAACCCTGGAGACTGTCTCATCTTGTCAGTGTCAGCATTTCTGGGCTGGATGGACAGAGGATGTGTTTTCATCAGCATCTTTTGTGTTTAGGATTGTCGATGTGGGCGGGCAGAAATCCGAGCGCCGGAAGTGGATCCACTGTTTCGAAAACGTGATCGCCTTGATCTACCTGGCGTCCCTCAGCGAATACGACCAGTCACTTGAGGAAAACAACAGTGAAGTAAGAGGGGGCGTTCCCTTGTTGGTTGGCCGTTTGTGAGGGTGGGGGTGGCATGGCATTTGGTGCCGTTTTGGCAAAAATGGCTGCTTCAGGCGTATAATTTTCTGTTTCCACTGGATATATGTTTTTCAAAAAATCCAGCCCAAAATGCCCCTTTGTTGTACATTTTTGCCCTCTTTCCTTGGAGTGGGGGAGTAACCCAGCCCTCTGTTGTTTAAATTTAACAAAATTGGCCACTAGGGGTCATGAGAGGAGTGCCCCCATTTAAAAAAAAAAACCCAACTCTTCTTTTTAATGAAAAAATAAATGTTGGGGCCGTGGGTCATGAGAGTAAAAGGAGCCCTCCAAGATGGCCCCACCCATGATGTAAATCAGAAATTTAATCACAAAATGCCTTCAAACATATGTTCGCTACTTTGGGGGAAATGGACTTTTTCCTTTCTACAAGGGTGGGGAGTTCTAGTGTCTTTGAGATCACTTGGTGGGGTGTAAGAGACGAGAAGTTGAGACCATCTTCGTTGGGGGGTGGTGGCCAGGATTACCCGTTCCTGGAACATCTCACGTCCCTCTAAAGCTTTCTTAGGGTCAGAACAAGGAAGTCAGAGTAGATCACCATGATCATCAAGTGCAGTGGTTCCCCACCTGGGGCCCCCAGATGTTCCTGGACTGCAGCTCCCAGAAATCCTGGCCAGCACCGCTGGTGGTGAAGGCTTCTGGGAGCTGTAGTCTAAGAACATCTGGAGGGCCAAGGTTGGACACCACTGCTCTAAATCTTCCTTAGGGACAGAACAAGGAAGTCAGAGTAGATCACCATGATCATCAAGTGCAGTGGTTCCCCACCTGGGGCCCCCAGATGTTCCTGGACTGCAGCTCCCAGAAATCCTGGCCAGCACCGCTGGTGGTGAAGGCTTCTGGGAGTTGCAGTCCAAGAACCTCTGGTTGGCTACCTCTGGGTCTCTAGGGGTACAATTCAGAAGGACCTCCAGATTCAAACCAAGGGTTCATCCCAGCTCAGTTCTAAGGTACACCTCCTAGTGCTCCTGAGACATTTTCTCCCCGCCTCCGTGCATGACAGAACCGGATGCGGGAGAGCCTGGATCTCTTCAGGACCATTCTGGAACTGCCCTGGTTCTTGAACACCTCCACCATCCTCTTCCTCAACAAAACGGACATCTTAGAAGAGAAGATCATGACGTCCGATCTGGCGACATATTTCCCAAGCTTTCCAGGTAACGTTTCCAGCAGCGTGGTACCATGTGGTGTAGTGGCTAATTAGGATGGTGGACTCAGGAGACCTGGGTTTGAATGCCCACTCAGCCACGGAAACGCCCTCGCAGTGGTGGAACTGGTTAAACCTTCTCCTTAACTATCTCACAGACTTTGAATGCCTTGTTAGGGTCATTGTAAGTTGGTCTTCACTTTCTGGCCCATAACATGCAAGAATTGCGGAGCATAGAATGCCATCCTAGAAGGTTATTGGTCAGGCCCCCTATAACTTTTGCATGGAAGTGTCGTTCAAATGGCGTAAATCTCGAGCTATGAATCTCCGCAAATTCAATAGTCCATGCTCACATTCCTCACTATGACTCAGTGGCGTGACTTGGCCTGTGATTGCGAATGCGAGCATCGACTATTTAAGTAGCACTGATTTGCTGCTAAGATTTATGTTGTTTGACTCGGCCATTATATGGAGTAGCTCTCCATCTGTAGGATTTTGTTGCTTCTTATCATACAAAATTGTTGTCTTCTTTTTTTTAATGTGCATTTAGGATTCTCTGTCCTTAAAGAGGAAATTTTAAACCTCTTTTTCATCTTCTCTATCTTGATGATGCATTTTCCATCTTTGGGGCTGAGTTATATCTACCTGCCTTGGTGAACTCCAGGCAAAACCAAATGTTATGATGAGTCCATCAGAACGAGAGGATCCATGAGAGGTTAAATTGATTGATTGATTGATTGTTGTTGTTGCTAGCATGAAGTTTTTTAGCTCCAGAAGCTCTGAATCACCTTGACCTTTGGGGGGGGGTGTGATGGGTCATCCGGAGATGCACTCATCTCCAGGTACGTGCTGGTTGTGTGGGTATGGCAGTTTTGAAGGACTGCAGTCTTTGGAGGGAAAACATCATATCACTTTCTAATTGCAAAGCTGGGTTTCTGTCTCGTTTTGTCCAGAAGCTGGAGATGTTGACCTCACAAGGGTTTGGATCTGAGGCCAAACCTTACAGGAAACAGACATGGTGCTGCATCTTTTTTCTTAAAGTTCACTTTGAAAAACTGTTTTAAAATTTAGACTAAAATGCCAAGCAGATTTGCTGCCTCTGTAACATTTGATTTGTCCACTTCTGCTGGTCCTCCGTGTGAATTACTCCTGAGCAGGGGCCAAGAGAGGATCAGATTTTGGAAGCCAAGGGTCAAATGGCCCACTATAAATAGCCTGTCGTTTGGAGAGGTAATTTCGTTAGCATTAGGAGCAGTTAATCATTTTCAACAACTTTGTAATTCTTCTATTTATTGCAAAATTAGTTTGTTACTTTAATTTATTTATTTTCCTTTTGGTATAAACCCACAGTGTTGTCGCATGTCTGATGGCTAAGTCCAAGGTTCAGCCAGAATACAGTAGGACTCCCTTATCTGTGGGATCAATGTCCACTGATTCACTTATCCAGTCTGAAAATATTAAAAATATTAAAAGAAAGAAACTAAAAATATGTATTTTCATCATGTCTTCACCAGAACTGGATACTAGAGGGAGCTAGAAACTATAGTATCTATTCTTGTTGAAGATTACATAGCATAGTCTCTGGCTACTTCTAGTGGCCAGTTCTGGTAATACATGATGGAAATATATATTCCCGATTTTTTTCTTTTACCTTGCTATGCATAGTGTCCACTATTATCCACTTTTTCAGTATCAGCAAGGGGCTTGGAACCAATCCCTTGCAGATATAGGGGTCCTACTGTAATTCGTCTTTATATGATTTCGAGGGGGACAGGGAAATCACATCGTTTCGGCTAGAAATTATGACAATGACGTGTCATCTATAATGTCTCCTTTGGCTCGGGGACATGCCTAGGATGGTCTTTCATGTTCTGTTTTCTTTGCAGGACCAAAACAGGACGCACAATCAGCGAAGGAGTTCATTCTTGACATGTACATGGATGCCTTCGAGCAGGTCAGGAACTCCAGCCTGGGGTCTTCCCAGGAGGCGGGCAGGACCCGATTCCTTTACCACCACTACACCTGTGCCACAGACACGCAGAACATTGGCACAGTTTTTGCTGATGTCAAGGATGCTGTCCTGGCCAGCTACCTGGACGAATTCAACCTGGTTTAAGAAACAAAAGACTTGAGCTCCCAAGGATCAAGCCATGCATTGAGGGAAACACAGATTTCCTTTTATGGGTATTCTTTCATTTTTCCCTCCAGGCACGCCATTCTTTCAGTGCTCCATGCCGAAGGAAACCCAGCTTGCAAATTGCCGCTTAAGGGAACTCTGGCTCTCTCTCCCTTTTTTAAAATTTTTTTTGATGACTCAGATGTAAGAATCAGCTCAGGGTTAGAAATACTCGTCAGCTCCACAATCCGGCACTCTTGTACAGAACTTCAAAGGCTTGCCATCTTTCGTCCAATGGTGTTTTCCCAGAATGCAACAGTCTGATGGGCGGAGGGACCACTTGCTGAGTGGCGTAGTGGGCTAAACCGCAGAAGCCTCTGTGCTGCAGGGTCAGAAGTCCAGCACTCGTAAGATCGAATCCACACAATGGAGTGAGCTCCCATCACTTTGTCCCAGCTCCTCGCCAACCTAGCAGTTCGAAAGCATGTAAATGCGAGTAGATAAATAGGTACCATCTTGGTGGGAAGGTAAAACGGCGTTCCCTAGTCATGCTGGCCACATGACAACGGAAAACTGTCTTCGGACAGGCGCTGGCTCTATGGCTTGAAAAGCAGGATGAGCACCGCCCCCTAGAGTCGGACACGACTGAACTAAAAATGTCAAGGGGAACCTTTACCTTTACCTTACCCCAATTCTATGACATCCTCCGCCCCCCTGCTCAAGATTCCCTCAGGTCTCCAAGGTTGAATGGGCCTTGAAGACCCATTAACTTTGCAAAAGACCTGCCCTGGCAATACTATGTACTTCTGGAACGGGTTTGTTTTTATAGGGTCAACGCAGCTGAATGCATTTGGAGAGACTCTTCTGGGGCAGCGAGCCAAGTCGGTCCTGAAATGGACGGCGAGAACACGGTCCCTCTTGCAAAGACAGGCCATTGCACCGTCCCAACAAGCACACGTCGCTCGGGTCTTGAACAGACAATGAAGAGCCATTAGCCCGATAAAAGGCCCACTCCTGGTGAAGAGAGAAGTGGCTACAGCAGGTTCGTGAACAGGGATCCACTTTTTGGACTTGGGGACCGGCTCTGTGAACTTTGGTGAGGAAGGCTGAGTTGGCGCATTTTGTTCCGTTGGCTTCATCAGCTTTGTTATGCTGAGCTAACTGCCTACCATGTACAGAGTGCCTCCTTTCTCCTTCTCGATCTTTCTCTCCACGATCGGCCTTCTCTTCTGGCTTTTCTTTGCCTCCAGCCACTTCCTGGGATTCGACCAGTCCCATTTCTTGGGCCCGTTTAGAGCCCAAATGTTACTTTTTTTTTTACACTCGTAGGTAAACTTGTGCCAAAGAATTGGACCTCAGTGTGCGGGGAGGGCACCCATAGAGGGGGCATTTTGGTCCACAACCCTTCTCTAAAATCTTGGGTGGATGTTATGTCTGCAGATAGACTGCTCCTGGATGGTGGAGACCTAGGGGCCAGTGTGTAAATCTTAGAGAGGTGGTGACTTAAGCACGAAGTGTTGACAACTAAAGAGAAGACAGTGGTTCTTTTCATGGGGGGCTTTTTTTGAAGGTCCCAATGGGGTTGAAACAGGGACGAAGCCAGATAAAAACAGTAGCCTTGTTTCTGCCGCCTCCAGAGCCTCGGCTGAACTCCGCTTTCCCGTCGCTGCCAAATATTTAGATCTGCATGTCCTCAACAATTTGGGCCAGCAGGCTCAGGGTGCCAGCATGATGGGACATGTAGTCCCAAACATCTGGAGGGCAGGGCAGCTTAGGTTTTTTAAAATCCAGAAATAATCCATGCTGATTAATTGTTTTGCAATCTGGAAATGTCCATCCTTTGTAGGTCTGGGGTCTTTTGGGGGGGGTCAATTAACTTTTTTCAACCCCAACATCACCCGTATGGCCAGGTACAAAGATCAAGAAGCCGGACACCCGTGGAACCGTGGTGGTATTGGATCCACTCGGGGTTTTAGCCTGGACTTTAAAGGCACAATCCAAATTCTGAGGATAGGGCCCTACACCACAGAAAGCCCCCGCAAGGTTCGGACTCAAACCCAGAGTGGATTTCACTGCATGCCAGAGCCACCTTGTGCTGCTGAGCATGGCATTGCGAAACGAGGTGCCGCTGATTCCGTGATATGGGAAATGCAACTTTTGGAGACTACGGAGCCCATATGTCCCCTATTACATCAGCCTCTTGCTCTGGAATGGGCAATTAAGAGCCATTACCTTTGCAAAAGATCCACCCCCTTTGGAAAGAACAGCTCAAGGGCTTTTCTTGATCTGGACCAAACCAGCTGTCTCAGCATAGACAGGACGAATGCCAGAACATCACATTTTTTAGCCCTACACCACAACAAACAGGTCTTGCCTTGCTCCCGCTGACTCCAGTTTTTCCTCAGCTTTTTTGATTTTAGTAAAATCATACCAAAACCCTTCTCCGCTGAAAACACAGAAAATCCTTTTGCGGAGGTGACTCTGATGTGTTTTGGGGGGGCAGTGAATCTATTCTGGGTTTACTTTCAAAGGTTTACAGGTTTACTTTCAAAGGAAGTTTCCACAGTGCAAGGTTTCAGCCCTTTGAGTGGCTCTTTTAGTTTGGAGCAAAACTGGGAGTGGATTCATCGTCCTCTACCTTTCCAAAATCAATGTCCCCATCAATCTCTGTGATCTACTACAACTCCCCCAGGGATCTATGAATAGATCGGCATCTCCTTTCTGCCCATCTGAGGGTTCTAGGCATCTGAAAGTTACTTTTTTTTCCGGACTGGCGCTCCTCTGAATCCTCACTGGTGGAACTGCTGGGTGGAAGTTCGAAAGAAAAAACAGATTTCCCCTACTCTGGCTGTCACCCATCTTCTGTTGAGTCCGGGCTAGCCTCTAGACTGTCGAAGTCAAAATTAATTGGCAATACCTCTTGATGAGAGAGAGAGAGAGAGAGAGAGTTCAAATGGTTTCTGTTTTATTTAGCTAAATAAAAAGCGTGACGGAAGCCATGCCTCCACGTGTAGGCGGGAACAACCGCGCCATGCACAGGAAGACCAGGACTTTTATAAAATGGGTTACACAAGGGAAAGGGAGGAGAAATGGAGAAATGGGTGGAATTTCTGGTCAAAACAGTGGTGTCTGTTTTGCTCCTCCAATCTAGATTGGAAGGCAAGATAACCTGCCCAGGTGAAGGAAAACCTGGCCAGCCTTATTCCTTTACAGAAATTCTTTGAGGGAACACGAAACGTGTCCATAGATGTATAAATCTGGCTGTGTTTTATCTTTCCAAACTGCATTCTGTGTGATCTGATTAGAGGTGTGTCCTTCTTGCCTGTTTCATGTCGTGCCTTACGGTCCCTTCATTCTGAAGTCACTTCGTAGCATTTCAGGAGCAGAAAAATTACAAGACGAGTCCCATTAAAAATTGCAAAAATATATATTTTAATGATTAATTTGATGCAGCCAACAGAGAAAGGTCGGCAAAGGAGTTAGCACAGAGGAGGAGTTCTTAAAGTTTTGCTTTAGTTTTGGAATCAAAGGAAGAGGGTTACCGGCAAGGTTTACCACGATGGCGTCTTCTGAAATGCATAAGAGATTTCCCCGTAGGACGGCGTTTTCTGAGAGCTTCCCAGGGAAAAGGGGGGGCAGTGATGGTGAGTGGATAGAACGGCTTAGAAGAGCAGACAATCTGGGGACCTGGGAGCTCCGGGTCTAAGCAGAAGGGGAAAATATTACCTTTTTGGCCCCCATCCCTGGTAATTTCCAAGCATTACATATAAAAGGGCAGCAGAAGTGAATGGATGGGATAAGAAAGACTTTTCAGGGCTTTAACATGCAGGAGTGGGATGAGGAAAATAGAGTCCGAAGTGGTCTGGTGGGAATTAAACAGAGCTTGGCAGTTACTTTTGGAAAGTAATTAGTTACAGTTACAGTTCTGAGGCTCTCTTAGTAGTTAGCTACTAGTTAGATTTTTTTAAAAAGTAGCAACTACTCAAAAGAGTTGCTTTCAGTTACTTTAAACAAAAAACACCTCTAAAAGGTACTTACTTACCCAACCCAAGCCAGTTCATGATGCCTTTTAGAGGTTTTTTAAATCAGTGGGTGAAAAGTAACTAAAAGCAAATATTTTGTGCAGTGTTACTTACGAAAGAACTCAAACACAATGTTTTTTTCCCCTGCTTGACACTCTTCTGTCCTGCTTTTTCTCCAGTGAACACCAGGTAGTTTTTGGGACCTTTCCTGTCCTCTTCTTTATTTCCTACAACAGGTAGGAGGTAAGATCAGGCTAAAAGTGAGGACTAGACGAGGCTAAACCCTCATGCACTCATCTGTTCCTATCATTTGGGACACTTCCCCTGTGGTTGAAAAGTAATTAGTTATAGTTACAGTTATAAGCACCCCCAAAAGTAGTTAGCTGCTAGTTAGAATGCCACGCAAATTGTTAATCATGCAGAAGGCTGAAAAGGGGGAATCAAAGGTCTTGGTTGTGCCGGGTTCTCATGGGTTCGACTCCATGACGCTCTCGATCCAGCGGAGATAATAAGCAACTCGTGCGTAAACGCCAGGAGGGCTGTTGTAGCCATAGGAAACGACCCCGTGCACCACACCCCTGCAGATCATCGGGCCTCCAGAGTCCCCCTGCGGAGGGAGAGACCAAATGGAGAGGTGAGGACACAACATCGGCACACACGGCCTCTGTGGGGTAAAGAGTATAACACAATGGTTGTTGTGGGTTTTTCGGGCTCTTTGGCCGTGTTCTGAAGGTTGTTCTTCCTAACGTTTCGCCAGTCTCTGTGGCCGGCATCTTCAGAGGACAGCA